TCTCTCTCTCTCTCTCTCTCTCTCTCTCTCTCTCTCTCTCTCTCTCTCTCTCTCTCTTCCCTTTTTCCTTTACAGCTCTGTTAAGGACAATTACAGCATAGCACTTTGTCTCTCAAATATCTCTGCCGAAATAACAAAGTAACCACCCAGGGGTGATAATTATAGCAATAAATACAAAGCAACAATTATTTTCCCATTAGCTTGGGGAACCTTGACTAAGTGATCTGGTGCTAGGCTAGGAAAGTCTCTCTGGTGGCCTGTTTGTGGGTTTTTCTGGAGGCAGCTGTATTGGTCCAGACCCAGGACAGGGCAGGCAATCCGCCTTCACCCTCCACATGACGCTGGGGTTCTCAAGAAAAGCTTACAGAAAGTACAGATGAGGGGCTGGGGATTTAGCTCAGCGGCGCAGCTCCTGCCTGGCAAGCGCAAGGTCATGAGTTCGATTCCCAGTACCGGAAAACAAAACAAAACAAAACAAAAAAAAAACCAAGCAGAAAGTACAGATGAGATGAGCACAACCAACCAGCAGGAGGTCTTCATAATTCACAAAAAGGCTTGGGCAGAGATTAAGGCAAGGGAGCCAGGAGATGGCTTGTTTTTCTGGTCTGAGTTGAAAATGTAGGTACAGGGCCCCCGAGTCATTGTGCTGGGCTTGGTTTGATCTGGGGCTACAGTGTCACTTGGGCTTAAGGTAAAAATGATTTCCTGATGGCACTCTGACCTGCACCCTTACGGACCACCCCACCACTTTGTTGAATCTCATTCATCCAAGAATCCGAGGTCCAAACTCCCAAAACTTTTTGAGCACAAGGGGAAAATTCCACACCAGGAAACTTGGTTGTATGCACAAAGTTATTTTTAAAAATTATGTAAAATCACTGTCAGGCTGTGTGTGTGTAAGGTGTATATGAAACATAAATGAACTTCGTGTTTAGATTTGGTTTCTATCCCTCAGATACTTCAGGATGTATATGCATATATTCCAAAACCTGAAGGAAAAAAAAAATCCCAAATTTGAAACACTTCTGGTCCCAAGCATTTTGGAGAAGGCTACTCCAGCAGTGTTGCCCAGTTTCCATACATTACTGTAAGTTCTGCAGAGGCAGGGACTTCTGTCATGTCCCCTTGGCTAGACAGATGCCCAACACAGAATAGGTACTTAATAAATAAATGTTGAATAGACACAGTCCATCAGACCCCAGAAGTTCACTTGGCCTTTCTCTCTGCCTCTCTTTCCTCTCTGCCTCTCCCCAGATGTCTCGGTCAAGGTGACCTTGAAGCACCAGGCTCAGAAGCTAAAGAAGAAGCAGACAAAACGGGCCAAGCACAAGATCAACCCCGTGTGGAACGAGATGATCATGTTCGAGCTGCCCGACGACCTGCTCCGGGCCTCCAGTGTAGAGCTGGAGGTGCTGGGCCAGGACGAGGCCGGGCAGAGCTGCGCCCTCGGCCACTGCAGCCTGGGCCTGCACACTTCGGGCTCCGAGCGCAGCCACTGGGAGGAGATGCTCAAAAACCCGCGCCGGCAGATCGCCATGTGGCACCAGCTGTGCCAGTAGCCAGCCACTGAGACGACCTCCCTTCTGGGGCACAGCCCCCTGCTCCAGTCCCAGCTGTCCCTCCTAACCTCCTCTGACTTGATCCTCATTCTGACAGACCGAGACCCCATGCCTCCTCTCTCATCGCACTCCCGTTTCTAACAAAAGAAGTGTGGAAACAGGACATCGGTCACACGGAGGAGTTCAGCGTGCTCCTCTGTGCTATGAAAAAGAGGCCTTTATCAAACACACCTGTGCGGGATTTGCAGGTGGGGGGAGGTCAGATGTAGAGAGAATTTAATTCAGGGAATTGTGGATGCAAGGAAGTTGGCTTCCTAAAACTTAGCATTTCAACAAGGATGAAGGCAATGAAATGATCCTGGATAAACTCGAAGAATTAAAGCCGGTCTGGGTGGGATGAAACCAAACCCCCTGCCCAAGCAGCTGCAGAAGGTCAGTGCTGAGACTCAGACCCTGGCTCCTGGGCCTCTGGTGAGTTCCAGATCAGAGATCCTGGCCAAGCCTGGTCCTCTGTTCTTACAAGCAGGGGAGAGATTCCGAGGCAGAGGTGGGAGGACACGGAGAGGTCCCAGCTACAACATTCCATGTGGGCTTCAGCCTCGGAGGCAGTATGCCCCAACCCTAGGCACCTGAACCCTCTGTGTGAACTCAAAGCCTCTGTTTTTAATTTAATTCTTAACATTGAAATGTGTGCTTTTTCCAGCTCCTGCTCTTGGGCTGCATTTTGTGCTTCTTATGAAAGGATTTTATCGTTTTATCTTGAAATCAGCTTACACGTGGGGAGACCTTCTCCCACGAAGTATAGGTGGGACCCCCTCTCCGTTGGTCACTGGGCTGGATTCTGAGCATTAGTTGTCACATTTACCAGCATTACCAACGTGACCCTGTGTGACAGATCCATCCCTTCTCCGCTTTCCAGCCACTTCTGGAGGAAGTTAATTATGAACGTGATCTACTCCGTCTGCATGAAAATGGAGAGGAAAGAAAACTTTACAAAGCAGTGAGGTCTTCGGCAGACACCCTCCTCCCTGGGTTCTGCAGCTCATTTTAACTCCAGACTCTAACCAGTAAATAAGCAGCAGCTAGATTTTGACTTTCAACCTTGTTGTGCCCAGATGGATGTCCCCATTGTGATTGAATCTAAATGGAGGGGACCATACTGCTCACCTGCGCTTCCTGGGTCCTGCTGCTGTCACTGCCCTTCACAGCCTTAGTTTGGCCATCTGTAAAGTACGGCGCACCTCCTGGGGTCCCAGCTGTGTGCGTGACATGGTAGGTGCAAAAGCGTTCAAAAACTGAAGGTATTCCTCAGCTAAAAGCAAACTCTGAGACCACTAGCAGATCATCTTTAAACTAGGCTACTGTCTTACGCTTCACGTTGGCAGCTGAGAATGCCCAGGAAGTGCCAGAGCTACTCAAATATTTCCAGAACCACGGAGTCTGTATTTGAACTTCTTTCTATTACTATCCGAACTCTGGACTTTCCGATGTCAGCCCCATTCCCTGGTGGAAGGGAGGAGTCCAGGACGAGCTAAGAGCATCATTCTTCTTAAATCCAGTTGTTCTTGGCCTCTCCCCGAGCAGGGACTTTATAATTTTTTGTCATTATTTGTCCCTTCTATGCAGAAATGGGAAATCACTAGAAATAACTTCTATCCACTCTGTAGAAATAGAAAAAAATCATGCAATCCCCATGTCATGCGCAAGCCTTTTGGATAATGGAAACCTTGATCTTTCAGGTTGGCCAGCCCCTGGGCGAAGTGTTTTTGCAAAGGTGCAGTGTTGTCTCTGGTTTCCTGAAACATGTTTCAGAGTGTACCCCCTCTGGTCAGTCTCTTCTCTTTGGTTGGCATGGCGAAAAGAGAACCAAATATTCCCCAGGGGACCTAAAGGCTGGCCAGCACCTTCTTCTTCAACACCTGCTACTCCAGAAAAGTTTGGCTTCTGAACATAACAATCAACAAACATGAGTTCTACTTCCCTATCCATCAAAGCACTGCCTCATAGCCCCACCAAGGGACATCTGAGGAGTGCTGGACAGGGTCACCCAAAGTCATCCCATTCATTTCTCTGCATCTCAAAGGTTTAGTTTTTGAGAATCTGAACTAAAAGTTGCCCCTGATAGGGGTCACATTATTCCACAGGATATCTTATGTGTCATTGTCACCCCACTCTGCAGGGAAGTACAGAAATGACACAGGCTTTGCAGGGGCCGCATCTGGATGTTCACTAGTGGCTTCCAAGTGCCAAGGTAAAGCTGTCTCAGGGGGGCTCCATCAGGGCTTGCTGAAGGAGGGAATGAAAGATGGATGGGCTGTCACCAGAGAAGGATAAAGCACATGGCAGAACAAGGAGGACCCTGGCTGAGTCGACAATGATAAAGACATCAGCCATCTCAACAGTTGGCCATTCAGTATCAGCATTCACCTAATGACAGTCAAAGCTTTTTGTGTAAGTAAGTTTAACAAAAGAAGAGCCTATAATTGCCATGCTTTCCCACCAAAACTCCACTCTGGTGAATTTTAAATTTCCCAGAGAAGGCCGAGTGTGGTGGTGCCCACCTGTAATCCCAGCACTTGGGAGGCTGAGGCAGGAAGATTGCTGTGAGGTCGAGGCCAGCCTGGGCTACAAAATGAGTTCAAGGCCAGCCTGAACTCATAGTGAGACCCTGTCTCAAAAAGACAAAAAAAAAATTACCCAGAGATGTCAGACCACCAAATCAAAAAATTTCAGTAGTCTTTGCCTCAGTTTACCTTGTACCAGACACACCTGAAATATACCTTTGAATTAGAGTGGTTAAGTCTGTGTGAACACCTCTGATGATTAGTGAAAGAGACCGACACCTTGTTCTTTGCAGGGGAGCATTTTCTAAGAACGATGTGAAGCAGAGATGAAAACAAAGGCCTGTCATCCAAAAGAGGACTTGATTCTTTCTCAGAGATGGCCAGGGCGTGGAGGATTATGAGTCCATCCTCATTAATGGGTGACTTCACTTCGTGAGCCAAGCCGTATATTTGTTGAGTGCCTGTTCCTCAAGACCTTGCATGTGTCTGTCTCCTCCGATTTAAGATGTGACTCTTGGAGTGCGCTGGGTAACAAACCACCCTAACTGAAGTTAGGCAGAGTGAGCAGGTGGGAACAGGAGCACTGTTCTTTGGGGACACTTCCTCTGGGTGGAAGGTGATGGTAGCCTAAGCCAAACGGAAGTAGGGATGGTGAAAAGAGACCTAGTCCTTGTGATTTGTTGCTGCCTTCACTGTTTCCTGTTATCAGTTGCTGTGTGTGTGTGCGTGTGTGCGTGTGTGTGTTTGTGTGTTCCTGTTACGAACCGAAGCACAAAAAGACGCATGAGATATTGTATCTTATTGTATTGTATCTTATTATAAGATATTGTATCTTATACACATCAGTTCTAGTATCCTGTGTCACGTATCCCGTGTCACACTCTGGAACAAAACCATTGCAGTGGTAAATAAATCATTTCTAACAGGGTCAGCAGCTTGTTTCTCTTTTTTTGCTTTCATTTAATATTTTGGGCATATTACATGCAGTTAAAAAAAAATGCACTAAGCACTCATGAGCCACTGCCCAGTTTAATGAATGACAGCTGCAGTTCAATCTGCTGTGTGACCTTTACTCCAGAGACCGGCATCCTGACCCTGGTTTTTACCCTAACCAGTCCTATACACTTGTAGACACATACATATAAACTCTGAGCAATAGAGCTATTTTGCGTGTGCTTTAAAGCACTCTTTAAATTATATCACACTATTTTTGCTCAAAATTAAAATTTTGAACTTCAGTTGTGCAGACATATCAGTTCTAGTTCTACACATATGTAGTTCTAGTTTGATTCTCTTTTACTGCTATGTAATACTCCATCCTACAAATACATCACATTCATTCTTTTTCCTTCCTCCCCCTCCTCGCTTCTTTCCACCCTTCTTCTCTTCCTTCGTTCCTCTTTCTCCTACAAGAAATGCTGCTATGGACATTCCTATGCAAGTTTCTCAAAGGTATAACAGTGAGCAGAATTGCTAGGAGAGAGATCCCCGTGGGTATGCACGCGTGCATGCCTTGGTGGTCTTGTGCAAGTACTAGATCCAAGGGGCTACACACTGTTAGTGACACAAGGTCTGAGTAAGCCTTTGTGAGAGTTCAGCTTCCTTCCTGATGAAGAATGGAGTGGATGCCCGGGAATCCTCTTTCTTTCACAGCCCCCAGAGCAGTGCTCCCATCTCTGAAGGCCCCACGTAGCAGCCATGGTGTTGCTGCACTCCAGGTGGCAGGCAGGGACAAGGGGACCCCTAGAGTCCTGCCACCCTAGGTCCTCCAGGTGGCCATTGCAGGGTGGCCTCCCGAGGAAGAGGCCCAGGCATTTAGCAAGGGGTGGGGCCTGCATTTTAAATCTCTGGGAAATTATCCAGGGCACATGGAATTAATTGAAGCTGCTTAAACTGGATAAATGGTCCATTAACGAAGCCGTGAAATGTCTTTGCTTTCTAAGTCTGTGCACACAATTCTTCATTTTATGTTATATATGCGTATTATATTCTAATGGTAACCAGGATTTTTACTTTCATAATAAAATATGATAAGTGGGTTTTCTCCCACAGAGCCAACTATTACATAGACTATGCTTCCCAGAGAGCTACGAATGGATGCAGGAGGAAGCGTTCAGTGCTTGCCGTACCCACGGCTTCCCTCCGATGGGCCTTCACCCTGCTCCTGTGCACCAAGTTGCCTCACAGCCAGAGCAACATGATGAGAGCTCAGAACCCCCTACTCCAGCGCAGCTTGGGTCCTGGCCGCCATCATGGCCCTGAGTGACTCACTTGCCTATGGGCCTCAGTTTTCACATTTGTAGAATGAGTTTGGACCAAATGAGCACTAAGGCCCCTTTGTGATTCTCTGATCTAGATTGGCAGCAGCTTGCTTTGCACACCTTAGGCCTCCTAGCTCATGCATAAAATAAACCCAACCCACACGCATGCGTGCATGCCCCCCTGCCTCATGGGTAACGTCCATGAGCATCTCCTGAATGGTTCCTCCTGACAGCCACCTGCTCCCTTAGACGCTGTGCAGTGGCACCTGAGCCTCTGAGTCAGCTTTGTCTCATTTGCTTAATTGCTAATGGAGCCACTGGTAATTTTCCACCCAAGAGTTTCTGTTTTTTAGAGCCAGTTGGATGCACCATCCTTGCAAGAGCTCAGAATTCGAGCATCTGTCCCATCTCCCTTCAAGCCCAGACGCCTAGTAGGAGGATAAAGCCAGGAGATGTGGCCATAGATGGATATAGGTTAGATGCTGTCCTGGTAGTGGCGGCCTGCCCGCTGCTCCCTGTCTCATCTCCTCCAGGTGAGCAGCACAGATGGCCCCTGGCAGGGACCTGAGCAGCTTTCCCAAGCCAGAGACAAAGGCACCTACCTGGGAGGAGGATGGCAGGAAGCCAGTCTTGGTTCTGGAAGCCAGACATTGCCATGGCAACCAGTCTAGCGGTGACCACCATGTGATTACAGCCATATGGTGGCTTGTTCCCAGTCAAATTTGGTCTCCAATTGTTATGGCTCACATTACGATGCCCCTCCCCCAGCCTCATGTGCCCATGGAGGGACTTTGAGGATGGGTGTTCGATACTGGATTAATCCACTGATCAGTTTAGTATAGTTCTGGCTGTGGCTGATGGATTTTCTGAAGAGGGAAGACCCACCCTGGGTGTGGGTGCACTGACCAATAGGCTTGCAGCATGGATGGAATAAAAAGGGAAAGAAGGAAGCCTCACTGCCTCTTACCGTGAACTGTTTCTCCTTTCCCATACACCTCTGCCATGCTGTCCTGCCTTGGAACCAGCCAGCTATGGACTGAAACCTCTGCAAACTGTGAGCTAAAAGAAATCTTTCCTCCTTTAACTTGTGAGTATCAGGTACTTCTAGCGTTGAGCAAAATAACTAAGACATCCATCAACACAGCCCACTTTGGGGCACGGTTTGCCGTCCCAGTTTCCTCATGCCCTTTCCCAACATTTCAGGACAGCCTTTTGGCAGATGAGAAGGGGAATGGCAGAGATCCTATTTCAGGAGGCCAGGGATTCCAACCAATAATAACTGAGAACAACATGCTTTTGTAGCCAAAACAAAAAAGAAGAGGGCTGGGGATTTAGCTCAGTGGCACAGTGCCTGCCTGGCAAGTGCAAGGTTGTGAGTTTGATTCCCGGTACTGGAGGAAAAAAAAAAAAAAAAAAAACAAATAAAAGAAAACTTTGTAGGCCCTCTCCTCTTGAGGACCAGGGGAGATGAGTGTTAGGAGCAGGAGAGGGAACTCTGAGGCCACTCCCTCACCCAAGGTAACCCCAGGAATTCTGGGTGGAAATTATGGTATCAGAGATTCCCAACACTGCCCGGAACTTACTTCATCCTGATGTAAGAGGTCACTATAATGATGCTAACAATGATAAATAATCAACTGTGTGTGAAACAACTACAGAAATAGACTAAGTGACTTGGCCAAGGTCTTGTGGCTTAAAAGAGGCAGACATGGATTGGAGTGTGGTACTGTCTTACCCTAAAGTCCAGGCTCTGGGGTACAGTCATGGCCAAGGCTGTTCCCTGGAAGGTCACTTTGATGAACAGGTAGTAGCCTCAAAATACTACCAGGAACTATGAAATCCAAGAACCAGTAAGCTAGAGAGCTGGAAAGATCTTCTACAGGGGGTTGAGAGATGCCTGAAGGGCTGTGTGTAGTGTTTTAGTCACCTTCCTGGTGCTGAGATGCAATATCCCACACCCACAACTTTAGAGGAGAGGTTTATTTTGGCTCATGGATTCAGAAGCTGCAGTCCATGTTCATCCAGCTCCATGGTAGAAGCAGGCTGATAGAAGGGTCTTGCCAGAGCAGAGCCGCTCTGCTCATGGTAGGCAGGAAGCAGAGCGAGAAGGGACAAGCCAGGGAGGAAGATACACCCTTCCAGGCCACATCCTCAGTGACTCACCTCAACCAGACCCCACCTCCTCACAGCAAATTAGCTATAGTGCCCCTGTGATTCAGTCACCTTCCGAAAGCCCGCCTCTGAACATGAGTCTTTTGGAGGGCAATGTCTAGGGCACTGTCCAAGGAGGAGGGGCAAGTTGGAGCAGAGGGGAACTCAACATGCAGCAGCAGGCAGCCTGAGCTTTTAGGGAAGGGGCTGGGTCAGGTTCAGGGTCATTCTGCTGACACGAGGGAATCAACACAGAGACAGGCAACACGGAAGAACCCAGGACTTCAGGTGTGACCAATACAGTTGCTAGGTCTATGCATCTCTCAGGAGCTGCTTAAATTCACTCATCCTTTCAAGGCACACTTGTTCACCACCTGCTCTGTGATAGGTGCTGTACACAGTGGCATTGACAACCTCGACTTTTCCCTAGTGGGAGAGGAGAACAGACATAAAACAAGCACACGCACACACACACACACACACACACACACACACACACACACACACACACACAGAGTAATTATAGGTTTCAGGCTGAGGTAAGTATTATGAAGGAACATATCAGGAAAAAAAGGAAAGCAATGTCTTGCAGGTGGCTACTTAGAAAATGTG